TGAACGAATTTCGAAATAAGCACTTATCTGTTTTCAGACGGCACCAAGCGTCTACTTACGTGAAGCCCCGAGAGGATTATGAAAACGTGGGTTTAGTGGTTTTCCTTCATATTTTTCAACTTGGATTTTCATTCAAACTCTTTCGGCGCTATGAAAAAGTTTTTCTCTGAGATTTCCAGAGACATGTCCCCTATTGAGAGTGTAGGTCAACATCAGTAAAGGTAGTGGTTTTAAAAGTGAAGCCACTTCAATTTCTGCCCACTAAGCTTGAACCCCTCAGAGAGTCGAAAGCGAAACATAACCGGGTCAAGCACACGTCAAAAAATTTTGGATGAGGACCGCATTTGGCCCCATGAATTTTTTTGGTTGTTCATTTCGCTCGCATCGAGTGCGCTATGTATTCCGGTAGTGTTCGGCGCAAGAATTTTACGATTTCTGGTAATAATGAACTCTGCTGATCTTGCTGTTCACCCTCCTTCTCCCTTCTCGCTCGACGAAACTCGGGTAGGGAAATATGGGAAAGGGGAAAGTTTTCTAGGCACCGTGCTCGGTTTGAAATGCTGATGTGGAACTTCAAAATATAATCAATCTATTCGGATAACAGAGCAGAGGCCGGTGTGCGTAAACCTTACGCGCGTATGCCCTACGCATAACTTGTGAACTATCCTTCTCAGGAGAGGTGAGATTCTGCAGGTAGGTCTGCATGATCCCTATCCTTGATCAGAGATGAAAACGCTGACATGCATTTTAAGTGGTGTTGGCAGCTCACTGAGTAGGGTACACACACAAGCGAATGCTCCGAAGAGCTTGATAATTCAGGCTTACTTCTGATTCTGCAGAGTCAGTGCGGTCAACGATGATCGTGACAAGTGCCCATGATACCTGTTGACTAAATGGGTTTACCTCGAAATATCTTCTCTGGATTCGTGGGTGTGGATCCTGGCCCAGGCCATGTGTAGGGTGAAGAGGTCCGCAGCTGCAGTAGCACGCTGTTTTATCCTGTAGAACATATACGAGAACGCGGCTAGGAGATAAGATGAATGCCTTGTGGCTGACTCCATTCTCCGCCGCGTCAGCAACGCACCTAAGCATATCCCAACGCGTCAACTGTCTGCGCCCTCTCACTTATGGTCCTTATCTACTGCTCAGGACACCTTTCAGTGCGAGACCCTCAGTAAAAGGCCAAGTGCTGCACCTTTGTTGAATATAGGCGGAGTATGGTGACGGCACTCGGGCTAAACTAATGAGCGGAGAAAGTGGCACGCTACTGCAGCTGTGGAGAACATGTTAAAGGCAGCGCCCGCGTTCATTTGTTGTTCCCACGCCTCTCTCGGGATAATGTTTGCCCCCAATCCTATAAGGTGTGGACTACTCTTTCCGCAACTCAAAATGCGAGAGAAACAGCAGCGCCTGCCGGTGAAGAGCGCGCCACCCGCCACCTGGCGAACGCACTACGCCAACTTCATTATCTAATGAATTGCCCTGTGGGATGCGGTTGTTAATCTGGACTACTAACTCTCTCACGTTGAATGGTGAGAGGTGAGGTGATAGGAAGCAGCTGATACCAACAAGTTAGAAACTCGTGCCGGCCCACGCCTACTCTTCGCCTTAGAGCACCGTTACAACCTCAGCTTGACGTGGGGTACTATATATGTGGGACAATATTCGATTGGGTTTAATCACCGTTTTCCATTCACTGATAACTACTGCTACCACTTGTTGTCTGTCTATCTTGTGCTGTCTAAGCCCCATAACCCATCAAATTGGACGCGGGTGCTGCCTTTAAGCTGTCTGCATGAGAGGGTTCTGACGAGCTGAAATGACGAGCTCAGCTTCTCTGGAACTGGCCCCTTCCTAAGCACGTAGCACTATACAATATTTTGTATCGTGACCTTTCCAAAGATGATTCAACCCATGCAATGATCCGCAATTTGGGTTTCTGTGAGGGAAACCCATGTTTGGCAATTCGGAAGTATAAGCCGAAATACCAACATTTTTTCTTTCAAAAGTGTATAATGAAATCAGCGTTACCGTTCACATCACAGTAACCTCTCCGAAATAGCCGTTTGAAAGGCGAATTGGGATAAATTCGAGAGTAATGTACTTGCACGTGGTGGTCGGTCCACATATGTGGCTCCCAAAGGAGCTCTATAGCTCCAGTGCTTCATCCACAGAAAAGCGCCTGTGGCATCCTAGAGTCACTTGCTTTTATGAAAAGTCCATCAAGAAGCCAAAACAAGCCGCTCTTAGAAGCAATCGTGCACGATGGCTTTCAACTATTAGCCAAAATTGTAATAGGACACTGTTAGTGGGGGAAAGCCGCAAAGAAGCGGAAGTGAAACCGATCAAAATCGGCGCGAAGAAAACCTCCGTTCTAGGGTCAGAACGCGTCGTCCATTTGTGGCGGGCGCGGCGTTTGGGACGCAATGTTGTGGCTTGATAGGGCCCTTTAAAGGTACCTTCCTCGGGGAAGCCGCTGTGCAGCGCCTGCCTAGGGTCGCGGAATTCTATCCCGCCAGGAGTATTCATCCTAGTCGTCTTGGGGGATTTATCGTGCCAACTGCATTACAACTAAAAACAATAATAAAATAAACAACAAATTAAGTTTTAGCTTGATTTTCTGTTGAATAGTTGCCCATTAGGAGTATGAAGATACAGATTTCGGGTGACTATCTGCCTTACTATCGGATGAATTTGCGCCGAAGACCACGTCGTACGTTTCTTCACTACCTAGTTTTGTAGACTAATATGTAATAGATATGAGAATCGATCATGAATAATCCATAATTCTGAAAAGAATAGTCCAAAAATTGCTACCTTAAAAAAATCTGTTCCAGCTTATCCTCGGATGATGATTAGAAGATTTCCTTCACGGCCAGTATTCGCAAGAACAAGGGTGAGTTGTATTCAAATTTACTGCCACGAAATGGGAGCTTGACCAGATCCGAAATACGTTAGAGGTACAGATCAAATCTATTTTGCGGCGCTGCCGAACTCCGAAAACCCTGAACTTCGCTCACGCATACCTTTGAGGAATAAAACGGCCTAAGCCAACTACCAGGGCTAGTCTGCGATTACATAATAGAACTGTTCCAGGTACCCCATATTCCTGTGAGTGGACGACATCGATGGCACAGTGATGATGCCAGTGGATTCAGTAACGCAAGAGGTGAATTTCTTTTTAATAAATCAGATCAATTATAAATTATTTACAGCCAACTAATTTCCAGTTTTCAAGCCCAGTCCCAAAATGTTTCCTGTTCTATTGTACTCTCCTCATCATTACGGACTGTCGGGGCGGGTCAGTGCGGCTGCGTTTTCCGCGGTGCCAAAGTCTTTCTGCACCAGTTGTTGAAGCGGGAAAGTGGCATTACGGCGCAGTTTGTCGACGAGGGGGCATTTTGCTTTCCATAGATGTGTCGACCCATCTAGGTAGCCGTTTCTCGAGTTGACACGTTTTAGGATAGTGGCTAGACGATCTTGCTTCAGCTTCACAAGAGTTCACAAGTTTTACCAGAGTGAGATTTGTAAACCGGAACTAGGGAAGCAATGATAGTACAAAATGCCCCCCCCGTCGACAAACAGCGCCTGACATTACTGTATTATATCCTTCGTATTACTCGTTTTCTACCACTTTTTGTCGCATACGCGTTTCAACGAAAAGGCTGAGAACGGCTTCAAACAGTGTGCGCACTCCTACTGGCTGATACGCCCCGACAGTCCGTAATGATGAGGAGAGTATCTCATCGATCATGACCCGTAAGGAAGAGCAAATCAGACAAAGTTCAGTTGTTGTGCCAAGTCTCGAGGATTTCTTATCATAACCCAGCACAAAATCCGGATTCGTAAAATCATCCGGAGTTTTCTTCGTCACTTTTTGGGGCTATGCCACGCACTTGTTCTTCAACCCGGATTCTAATGTTATCTGGCCTCATGGGGAGTTTATAAGGCAAACTAAGGAAAGCTGCTTGCTTTCAGCGTAGCACAGTACGTTTACGTTCTACAGTACGTTCAGTACAGCACAGCACATATACGTTTAACTTTCGAATCGTAACGTTCCTCCGATAGAAATATGGTCAGCCACGAAATATGCGTCGCATCAGGACAGCATATAAAGTCCCTGCTCTGTTTTGAGGAAGTGAAAACTCAGAGGAAGTTCGAGCTGCGATTTCACGGAGTTTGAAAACATTTTTTTAGCCACGAAAAATGGAAAGGCTACGGCCATTACCGATGGCGACGCAGACATGGTTGTCTCCGTCACCAGCTCCACTACCACCGCCGCCTACAACGAGCCAGTCGTCGTCATCCACAACGGTTTTGCCTCAGAATCACTTGCGCCTAGAAGTAAGTGCTATGCTTGTGACTAGTTCTGAAGAAAAATGAAAAACGGGATAAGGTCACTTTTCACAGTTCACTTTTCACGAACTTGCACAGCCTTGAAACCTGTTCTGCAAGACTTTGCCAAGAGAGGAAGGAGCTATAAAGTTGCAGCGATAACCTAGAATTCTCCGAATTTTCGCGGCCAGTGAAGCGCGATTGTGCAGAACTTAGCGCAGAGCACTAGGATGTGGGGGCAAAAAGCATTGCCTGAACTTTTCCGGGCAGTTTTCCCTTTCACTCGAGGGTGAAGCTTGTATGGTGAGATATGCTCAACAGTTGTCTTCAGTTCTAATGGATAAATATTCAGGAGTCCACGCCGCACACATGCGCCAAAATGCGTCGTTTGGCTGCAACCTTCGGCATCCACGACATTTCCGTCTACGCTCGAAAGAACTGTCGACTCTTGCTGACGTTCGCTCCGGGACATACCTGCGAACAAATCGTTCACTTTGTCGATTCCTGTCACAAAAATCACCTTCTCAACTAAGCATCCTTAGATATGTAATAGTGATAGTCACTTATTTTCGAGAGAATCGATGAGCGTCATGCCAGGGCGGTGGTCCTAGGCACGACGATCCGGGCACTTCTGTGCGAGGTAGTGGCTCCTTTACAGATTCTGTTGCGTGACTTAAAGGCGGACTGGCACTCACTTGTGTGAATGTGCGTCCTTGGCATTGCGTGTAAGTGTAAGAAGCTGCTGCAGTAGTGTAAAAAGTGATCAGGAACGCTGCTGGAGGGTAATGATACCTGGACACCTCCCCCATCTCTGCGCGCGCTTCCGCGGTTTGAGTCACACTGCTAACCATCATCCAAAGTTGCTACTTGTCCGTTCCCTTTCACTTCTGGCTGTTGCCCACCGCTGTATGTCTCGCGTTTGCTTGGTATTGTCGCAAGTGCTGCACACTGAGAATCGCCCCGCGCTGCAGAAGTACATATAGAGATGAGCCACCTTCATATGATATCACTACTTTCCAGCCTAGTTTCCGTACAATTTGCAGAAAAGTGGCACACTACTGCAGCTGCGGACCTATTAAGCTCGCACACGGGAAGGATAATCCTCGGAAGTCGGTGCAAATTTTGAGCTTGAGTGTTTTGTGGACCGCATGATCATTTTCTCTTCAAGTCTCACAAGTCCCAATTCAGCATTTCAATATGTGTTGTAGATAACTTCTTTTACAGGCTTTTCCACCACTTCTGAGATTCTTCAGAAGGGAAGAAAAAATAAGGCTGTCTGAGGAGAGGATTCTGGAGATCTCCGATACGGTTCCGGATCCGAGTTGCGGCAATAATATAGCTCTTCACTTAGTTAAGGCGACATTCAGCTGTACTTTGCGATGAATCTGTTCAGTTTGTGCGAATGCTGCACAAATGGCGTCGCTTGCACCCTTGCTCGGGTTTTCCTTTACCTAGAAATTTCCATCAATACTGGACACACTGATAACTGTTCCAACGTCAGAACCTTTTCCATTACAGCGTGTGAGCTTCAAGCAAATCAGTTGCAGGCGGCAGTTTTTATTAGGAAATTTTCCATGTTCTATTAGTTCTTTTCTCCTATGACTGCGGTGATCTTGCAGGGCGCTTTTCAAATTGCGCTGAAGAAGCCCCGCGCAGCACTGCACGTTCAGCTGCCACATAGCCCATGTGCGAGAGCCGTCTAAGAGGTCTGCGTTACGGGAACGTTACGCTACAGGCAGTATATCTCTTAGCTAGCGGACTCCTCAACTGCGGTAGCTCCAAGTTGGATCGAGTAGATTCTGAAACAAATGTCACGGCACTCGCAACAGGGCGTGCTCATGTGGTGATGAACAGAGTGCTGGACACCCAGTCACCACCTCCTTTCAATGTATTTCGAGACCTGCTCTTTTGTATAAGCCTAGTTCTTACGTCAGCACGGGAAATCATTAAAAAGCTGAAAATTATCTCCCTTATGTGATCTGTTCTTCATTCTAATCATCCTGAGGTCTAATAATTGCCCGGCTTTGATCCTTTAAAAATAGGAAGTCGGAAAATTTCCGAGCGATGATTCTGTATGTAACCCTTTGGCCCTAGCAGGCTAAATTTAGTTCAATAAAATATTGTTGACTAATTCCTGTGATTGTCAACTATTACCCATCATCCCTCACGACAGTCGAGACGTTATCGCGCATATTTGTCTGTTTTTAGTTATTCACGCGGTTATAGCCTTGTTGTTCCTACAGTAACGCTCAAATATCGCCTGTATCGACTTGTATGGCTGAAATAAAAATGTAAAGAAGTTTTTGAGCAAATTCATTTATTCCAAGCACGTCAGTAGGCAGCATCTGGATGATCAGGTCTAAAATATAGGTAATATAAGTCACAATTGTAAAAATTAAACAGAAGAAATGACATTTGCAGCGCCCTAGAAGAAGGCTCGTATTGGTGGATGCGCCATATTTGGAGGAACTAAATTTTCGCCAGGATATCAAAAGTGCATGTTTATGGTTAACATAAGGTCATATACAGGTTTTGGAGATCCGCAGAATGGACACGTCGCATGAGGTGCACTGGTTCACAGCATCCTTCGAAACATCGAGAAAAACTTGTGAGTAGAACCATAAGCCCAAGGTAGCTGTGACCAATGGTAAGGCCAGTTTGGTGGAGGTTAGCTAGTTCTTCCCTCTTTTTCTTTCTCGCCGGTCTATGAATCCAATTGTTCCCTTGCATTTCCTTCAAGCAACCAAGTAACGGGCCGCAACCACCCACGAAAAGGTAAAAGGTTGCGCTGGAAAGGGATCGTTGTCAGTAATAGACAGTCTTGCAACAGTCTTCGGGCAAAGCGAAGTTGCTTCGGTGACACGTCCTTATTTAGGTGACTCCGCTTCCAGACTCCGCCTTCAAAGCCCCTTGTATCCCGACTT